TGTAAACCTACAATAATGGCTAAATTTACAAAGATCCATTGTGGATGAAGATGTAGAGCACCTGGAAGTCTCATTCACTGCTAGAGGAAATGCGAACACTTTGGAAAAGTTTGGCAGTTGCTTAAAAAATTCAACATACAAATGGATTAAAGACCTCAATGTAAGACCTGAAACCATAAAACTCTTAGATGAAAACAGGCAGTAATTTCTTTGACATCATCTGTAGAAACATTTTTCTAGATAATGTCTTCTCAAAACAAACGCAAAAATAAACTAGTGGGACTACACCAAAATAAAGAGTTTTTTGCACAGTGCAGGAAATCATCAGCAAATGAAAAGGCAACGTACTGAACTAGAGAAAATATTTGCAAATGATCTACCCAATAAGGGGTTAGTATCGAAAATATATGAAGAACTTATATAGCTCAACAACAAAAGTGAAATAATACAAGTAAAAAATGGGCAGAGGACTGAACAGACATTTTTCCAACAAAGACATACAGATGGCCAACAGAAACGTAAAAAGATGCTCAACATCACTCATCAGAAAAATCCAAATCAAAATCACATGAGTTATCACCTCACACCTGTCAGAATGGCTAAAATCAAAAACACAAGAAATAACAAGTGTTTATGAAGATGTGGAGAAAAGAAAAAAAAAACAACACCCTCATGCACTATTGGTGGGAATGAAAACTGGTGCAACCACTATGGAAAACAGTGTGGATTTTCCTCAAAACATTAAAAATAGAAATACCATATGATCCAGTAATTCCACTACTGGATATTTACCCAAAGAAAATGAAAATACTAATTTGAAAAGACATAGGCACCCCTATGTTTATTGCAGCATTATTTATAATAGCCAAGATTTGGAAGCAGCCCAAGTGCCCACTGATAGACGAATGGATAAAGAAGATGTAGTGTGTATGTACACACACACACACACACACACACACACACACACACACACACAGGAATATTGCTCAGGCATAAAAAGAATGAGATCTTGCCATTTGTGACAACACAGATGGAGCTAGAGAGTATAATACTAAGTGAAATAAGTCAATCAGAAAAAGACAAATACCATATGATTTCACTCATATGTGGAATGTAACAAACAAAAAGGGAAAAACAAACCAAAGAAAGGGAAAAACAAACAGACTCTTAAATACAGAGAACAAACGGGTGGCTGTCAGAGGGGAGGTGGGCGGTGGAGAATGGGTGAAATAGATAAAGGATATTAAAAGGTACAAACATCCAGTTCTAAAATAAGTAAGTCTTGGAGATGAAAAGGACAGCATAGGGAGTATATTCAATAAGAGTTACAATGTTACTTGGTGACAGATGGTGACTACACTTATTGTACTGAGGAATGTACAGAATTGTTGAACCATTATGTTGTACACCAAAAACTAATATAACACTGAATGTTAACTCTACTTCAATTTTTAAAAGTTCAGTATTCACCTACCATATAATCCAGCCATTCTATCCCTAGAGCTTTGCCCAAGGGGAAAAGAAAGCTCCTACCGGAAGACCTGGACCTGGATATTCATAGTAGCTTTGTTTGCAACAGTTAAAACCCAAAACAATCCAAATGTTCATTAGGTATGGATAAATAACCTGTGGCGTATTGACCCAGTGGACTACTACTCAGGAACTAAAAGGGAATGAACCACTGATACACACTATAACAGGGATAAATCTCAAATAATTACGCTGGGTCAAAGAAGCTAGACGGAAGTAGGGTACCTATTGTGTGGTTCCATTTATATAATATTCTAGAAAATGGGAACTAATTTGCACTGACAGATAACAGTTTGATGGTTGCATGTGAAGGGGGAGCAGGGAGGTGGGAAGGGGCAGGAAGACAGGAATAATTACAAAGGGATACAAGGAAACTTTGGATGATGACGGACATCTTCATTATCTTGACTGTGGTGGGATTTCATTAGCGTGTAGGTGCCAAAAATTATAAACTGCACACTTTAAAAAGTTTATTTCATGTCAATTATATTGCAATCAAGATGTTAAAAATACTTCAGGTAGAAAACCATTTAAACCATCATCTTTTATAATGGCAAAATCCCAGTAGGAAATCCATATGTCTCCCAAAAGGAATATAGCTCGGTAAATTATGGCTCATCAATTTGCCATGAAGCTTTTCTGTTGTTAAACATAATGTATGTGAAGGTCATGTTGATATAAACTTCCTCAGAGGAGAACATGAAATGATATACACAGTATTATTCTAACGATACAAAATCGTATGATTACATGTGGCTAAAGACTGGAATAGGTCACAGAGAAACCTTAACAGTTTAAAGTAAGGGATTATAAGTATAAACGCCAGTTGTTGGAATAAATTTCACGTTGGCTTGTTTTCTAGGGTTTTATTAACATCTTTCTAGAGCTTTCTCCAAAGCATTTGGGAAGTCCTGGCACTAAAGAAACAAAGAAACTGAAGGAAATGTAAATGTGGAATTTTCCAACAAAATACTATTTGCATGCCTCTTGCCTTTCTTTTTACACTGTCTCCAGCGGCTCTCTGCTTGTTCCCAGTGGTCCCACTACCGCTTTGCTGATCTTTCCATCCCCAGGACACTGCATTATTTGGGTCCTTGCCATTCTCCCCTCGCTACCATAACGATTCTGCACACTCAACCTCGCTCTCCACAGCGCCGTCAAGACAGATGACATCATGTATTTCCCTCAGAAAAGCTATGAGAAGACTCCCATTCTGCCCACATCATATAGTCAACTCCCTCACTCAAGTCTCAAAGCTACTGCGACCTCTATTTCCAGCCTTATTTCCAATATTATTTCCTTATCTCCAAACCCCAGCCTCTTATTTGTTCGTTCTTAATTTCTGCGTACCACCCTAGGTCCTGAGGGTGCAGAAATAAGTAACATTTGTGTGGTGGTTAATTTTATGTATCCACTTGGCTGGGATGCTCAGCGGTTTGGTCAAACACCAGTCTAGATGTTGGTGAGAAGAAAATTTGTAGATGTGATTAATCTTTAAATCAGGAGACTTTGAATAAGGCAGATGGTCCTCTAATAATGTGGGTGGGCCTCATCCAATCAGTTAAAGGCCTTCCTTACGAGCAAAGTTTCCGGAAGAAGAAGCAATTCTTCTTCAAGACTACAACATAGGAAAAAAAAAAAAAAGACTACAACATAGAAACCTTGGTTGACTCTCTAATATGCTGCCTGCCCTGTAGACTTTGGACTTGCCCGCATCCCCAGTTGTGTGAGCCAGTTCCTTAAAATGACTCTCTCTCCCCCTACGTGCATATGCCCTGTTGTTTCTGTTTTTCTGGAGAACTTTAATACCATATGGCACCTACACTTATGGAACTCAGAGGCTAATCCAGGGAATAGGAATATAACCAAATAATTAAATCCAACTTGGAGGGTACCACGAGCTCTTCCACCATAAATGATGAAAAAAAATTTTTTTTAAATGGCAGGGGTGCCTGGGTGGCTCAGTTGGTTAAGCATTTGCCTTTGGCTCAAGTCATGATCTCAGGGTCTTGGGATCGAGCCCTGCATCCAGCTCCACTGCTTTTCCCTGAGCGCCTCCCCCCCAGTTTGTGCACTCTCTCTCTCAAATAAATAAAATCTTTTAAAAAATTACTTTCAGAGATGGAACAGACAGCAAGACCTATGATCTCTGAGAAGAAAAACAAGTGAGGAGCACCCCATCACAACCCTGGCTTTCTGTCTAGAGGTACTATCTAGACCGAGGCACAGGGAAGGGAAGGAAACTCAAGCAGGGGACAGTGGTCTAGCTGAGATGAGACGAGAAGCATATCATTTTTTTGACACTCTTTCCTCTACATGACAAAATTACTTCCAGCAATAATCATGTAATAATCAGTAAATATCATTGTTTTCTTGATTAATTCTCTGGGTTTTTTTTTTTAATTAATTTATTTGAGAGACAGAGAGCATGAGAGGGGAGGTCAGAGGGAGAAGCAGATTCCCCATGGAGCTGGGAGCCCGATGTGGGACTCAATCCCAGAACTCCGGGATCATGACCTGAGCCAAAGGCAGTTGCTTAACCAACTGAGCCACCCAGGTGCCCCAAATTCTCTGGTTTTAAAACAAACTGTTAACAACGCAAAAAAGAATCAATATCACTTTATGAAATATTATTCAAATTTAGTAAAACAGTTCAGGTATACATTAAAATTTATGCTTAACAAACATAAGTATGATGCTTTACATTCCACAGTTTTGCCATTCCACATTTTAAACACAAATTTCAACGCTTAAGTGGACACATAAAATGACAGATTTTAATAACTCAAATTGTTTATCTTCACAGCTATGTGCTGTCATTGCTGGCACCAAATCCATTTTTAAACATGGGATTTCTTGTACCACGGGATGACAGAAACACAAACCATCGTTGAAGCCAGTTCAGATTCTGAACTGTGCTAAGCTAAGCAGACTCTCAAAAGGAACACATGTAGCTGTTTACTAGAGGGAAGAAGCAACAACGTGTGATGTAAAATTTCCATATGGATCCTTAAAACTCAAAAGGAACCTGGGTAGCTGTTTAGAACATAAGCCAACAAAAACCCTACCTCCCACCCCCCACCCCTACCCCAGGAGTATTTTATCATTGATTAGTCAGAATTGCACAGACATGGTGATAATTAAAAGATAGACTTTTAGTCATTTCTGTAATTGTTTTAAAATTCTGTTCAGACAGCATTCCTCCACATTCCCAGCACCTAGGTTGGAGTGGTCCCTCCACCCTGCATTTGGTACCCCACTAGTTGGGGGTGGCCAAAGGTCTGAAATCTGTGGGGTAGAGTACAGCAGGGAAGGAGCTATGCAGAAAAACAGCTCCAGAAATCATGGGTTTCCCTTGAGTCTAGCTGAGTACCCTGTGAACATGAAGCAATGCTAAGCAATGATAGCACAGAGCTATGAAGATAGAGAAACGGGACGAGGGTAGGAAGCCAATGACTTGGGAAAGGAATCTACAGGGGTGGGACGGCTGAACCACCTCCGGGCCACACAGGGCTTGCACATGTTGAGGTTCCCACTAGTGAGAGTGGCGAGATCTCAATGGACACTTTGGTTACTGAGCAGAAGCCAGAAAGGCCATACCTCAGGAACAGGGCTAACTTAGTAGCAAAGCTTATAATGAGGCCCCTTGAAAATCAAACAGATTTACAAGTAAATGTAAAACCTGCCAGAACAAATCTCAATACTCTTTAAAAGAAGACATCTAAACCTTGACTCTTAACATCATGACATTTGTATTGTGTTAGCGTTTCTAGGAACGGCACCCCAAGATTCCATATTCCCTAGTCCCCAGAACCTATGGATATGAGGTGATATGCGTGATTATTATATTATCCAGCTGAGATAATCCAGTTTGACTTAATCTAATCACACGAGCTCTTAAAAGCAGAGAGCTTTCTCCAGCTGGAAGCAAAAGAGGAGGTCAGAGAGACCCAAAGCACAAGAAGGATCTAAGACACCACTGCTACTCTGAAGGTTGAGAGGACCACATGAAAAGGAGTGTAGGTGTCCTCTAGGAGGAGACCCTGGCTGCCAGCTGGCAAGTAAATGAGGCTCTCCAACCTACAGCCACAAGGACGTGGATTCTACCGACAGCCTGAGTGCGCTTGGAATCAGATTCTTCCCATGAACTTCCAGGTAACAGCCCAGCCTGGCCAACAACTTGATTTTGGCCTTCTGAGACCCTGGGCAAAGAACTCAATGGAACACACCAGACTTAGAACTTATGGAACTGTGAGGTAAAAACAGGCGTTCTTTTAAGCTGTGTGAGCTTGTAGTAAGTTGCCATACAGCAATAGAAAACTAATAAAGTAATGCTAGAATCAAATCAAAACATTACTATACATGCTTAGAAACAGGAAAATGTGATCCTTAAGCAGGAGTAAAGTCAGTCAATAGAAACAGAACCAGAAACAACAAAGATCACAGAATCAGTAGACACAAACATTTAATTGTAAGTATGCTCCATGATTTTTTTTTTTTTAAACATGAAGAGAATGAAGAGAAAAATGGAAGATACAAAAATGAGCCAAATTGGAACTTCTGGAGATGAAAAGTGTAATACCTGAAGTTAAGTAATTCATGGGATGGGAACTACATCAGATTAGATCTTGCAAAAGAAAACTTCTGTAAACTTAAATAAAGCAATAGAATCTTTCCAAACTGAGTCTGGAAAAAAGGCTGAAAGAGAAATGGAAAGGCCATCAGTGGCTTGTGGGGGAATACTGAGTGGTCTAACACATGTAACTGGAGTGCCACAACATAGAAGAAAACGTTTTTTAAAGAATGATGGCCAAATTTGTCCAAATTTGATGAAAACTAAAATCCCACAGATCCAAGAAGCTAAACAAACGTTAAGCAGGATAAATAAGGAATACTATAAAACGGAATACCCTAACCAAAATGTTTAAACCAAGGAAAACAAAATCTGAAAAGCAGTCAGAGAAAAAGACACATGTTCAGAGAAATAAATATACAAAAATTACCACCGACTTCTCATCTGAAACAATGGAAACCAGTTAGAATGACAACTTTAAAGTGCTGAAAGAAAATATCCTTCAGAAACGAAAGTACGATTTAAAAATTTTCAAACAGGGGCATCTGGGTGGCTCAGTTTGTTAAGCATCCACCTTCAGCTCAGGTCATGATCCCAAGGTCCTGGCACCGAGGCCCACATCAGGCTCCCTGCTCCTTGAGGATCCTACTTCTCCCTCTCTGCCTGCCACTCCCCTGCTTGCAGGCACTCTCTCTGTCAAAAAAGTAAATAAAATCTTTAAAATTTTTTTTCAAACAGAAGCTGAAAAAATTTTTCACCAGTAGACATGAACTACTAGAAACTTTAAGGAAGCTCTTTGGGCTTAAGGAAACTAACACAAAATGGAAAACTGGATCTACACATACAAAAGAAGAGAGCTGTACATAAAGGTAAGAAAGGAGGAAAAGAGAAAACTCAGGACAAATAGAAGAAAGAGAAAATATGAAAACGGTAGGCTTACATCCAACCATATGGATAATTACATTAAATGTAAATATGGTAAACATTCTAATTGAAAAGCAGAGATTGCCAGGCTGAATGAAAAAGCAGACTCAAGGGGCGCCTGGGTGGCTCAGTGGGTTAAGGCCTCTGCCTTTTGCTCCAGTCATGAATCCAGGGTCCGGGGATCGAGCCCCGCATTGGGCTCTCTGCTCAGCTGGGAGCCTGCTTCCCCAACTCTCTCTGCCTGCCTCTCTGCCTACTCGTGATCTCTGTCTGTCAAATAAATAAATAAAATCTTAAAAAAAAAAAGCAGACTCAACTTTACCTTATGCTTGAGAAATCTACTTTGAAAGATATAAATTAGTAGTAAAAGAATAAAAAAATAATCATAAAGAAAAGGAGTGACTATATCAATATCACTTTAGAATAAGGAATACTGCCCAGGGTTAAAGAGGTAATTCATAATGATAAGAGGGCCAACCAATTAATTAAGAGGACATAACAACCCTAAGTGTATAGGTACCTGTGTATAGGTGTATACACAGTGTATAAGTACTTTTATAGCTTAAAAAATACATCAAGTAAAAACTGAGAGAACTAAAAGGAGAAACAGACAAACCTATTATTATAGCTGATTATTTTAATATTCCTCTCCGAGAAAATGATACAACACTGAGACAGAAAACAGTAATAAGACTAAATAACACCATTAACCAACTTGACCTTACATCTAAAGAGCCTCACTCTCAGCATCTAAAAGATTTTCACCCATTCCAACCCTCATGGAACATTCACTAAGACATTAAAAAGAAAGTTAGAATAAAATTAAAAGGATTGAAATTCAATAATGACATTAAATTAAAAATCAGTAACACAAATATCTGGAAAATCTCTTAAATATTTGGATATTAAACAACACATTCTTTTAGTAACCCATGGGTCAAAGAAGAAAACACAAGGAGAATTAGAAACTGTTTTGAACTGAATGATAATGAAAATAAGAAATTTGTGGCATGCAGTTAAAGCAATGCTTAGGCAGCAGTATAAGGTTTTAAATCTTACATCAGAAGACTAAAATCAATGATTGAAATATCTATCTTAAGAAGCTATAAAAAGAGCAAGTAAACCAAAATAAGTAGAAGGAAATGAATAGTAAACCAAAATAAATAAATAGAAAAACAAAAATCAATCACCTACAAAATGGAAAAATAATACAGAAAATGAATGAAACCAAAGAAGTTTTTAAAAAGAGCAATAAAATCGCTCGACCTCTAGCTAGGTTGATCAGAAGGGGAGAAAAAACCCCTACAAATTACCTCTATTAGGATTGACAGTGAGGCAGAGCCTACAGTCATTAAAGATATTATGAGGGTCGCCTGGGTAGCTCAGTTGGTTAACTGTCTACCTTTGGTTTAGGTCACAATCTCAGGGTCCTGGGATGGGGCCTCGTATTGGGCTCCCTGCTCAGCGGGGAATCTGCTTCTCCCTCTCCCTCTGCCCCAATTCTTCACTTGTGCTCTCTCTCTCTCCCAAATAAATAAAATCTTTTAAAGATATCAAGAGACCATCAAATATAGCTCGTGATAATAATTTTGAACACAGATGAAATGGACAAGTTTCATTTATGTTTAGTGGTTCTTGAAAAAATGAGAGAAGAAAGTGCAATCTGAAGTAAATACGGCCAAATGTCAAAATCTGTTAAATTTAGTTGGCAGGTACCTGGGTATTTTCTGCATGCTTGAAATGCTCCGGAACTAAAATTTTAAATTAGTCAATGGAAAGTTATTTCCCAGGATCATTTCAACAATGAATACCTATCGATCATCTCTTATGTGAGAGATATTGGAGCAAGGTCCTAAGAATACAGTAGCCAATAGGCCAGACAGGTCTCTGCCTGACGGAATGCAGTTGGGTGGGGCACATGATCAAGTACCTACCAGAGATGTGTACAGGCTGTGGTAGGTGCTGTGAAAGAAATGACTCCAGGAAGAGACACTTACTAGAGGAAAGGTGGAATGTTTGCTCTATACAGGGAAGCTTGGGGAATTAGGGAACGTGAGACATGCAGGATGAGAAGCAGTCGCACGTGCAGAGAGCCAGACAAAGTGAATCCCAACAAGAGGGAAGTACATAAATATGGGAGCCCTGGGTGGGAAAGAGCTAGAACATCCAGGGTAAAAAGCAGTTTGAGATGAAGCTGAAGAAGTTGGATTTTATTTGAAATGTAATAGGATGTCACGGGGGGTCTGAAGCAAAGGAGCTGGCTTGGAGGTACTTAGGTCATTATAAAGATGGATTCTCGGAATGGAGGACTGAAGGGGGAATTGCTGCAAACCTCAGGGGAGGAAGGAGGTGGCTCACACACGGTGGTGGCTGTGGAGAGGAGACAAGTCAAGTCATCTGAAGTTTGCCATTTATGACCCGAGCTGGGTGTTTAAAGACTTGAGTTCGTCATTTTTTTCCCTAAGAACACAGTCTCCAGACAGAAAGAGCCATCCCATTCTGTACCCTGAGCATCATTACTACTCCAGTGGCCAGTGCGGTGGCCTCAAGTTACTTGCTTCGGAAGGCACTATGCCACCATCCATCTTGAGGGATGGGCTGACAAATCCTGATGCCACCACATGACCCAGATTACTCACGTTCCACTTTGTGGGGGCAAGTGGCTCAGCTACGTGTTCGGGGCCAAAGAGGCAAGCACACCACCCCCAGACCACCAGAGCCCACTCCTGGTACCAAGTTGGGTTCAGTCAGGATCCAGTCAGGCAATCAGAAACACAAGTTATTTTAAAAGAGAAAATTTAATATAAGAAACAGGTTAGACAGATACTGGAGGGCTAAAAAGGTGAAACAGAAACAATGCAGTTAAAAAAAAAAAAGGTTGTAGAAAATATGGTACTGTGAGTCCATGAAGCCTCCCCTATAGTCAGGGCTGAAGAAACAGAGAGGAGATGGACCTAGAAAGCCTTCTAGGGTCCCAGGAAGCTGGAGCC